TGAGGGAGATCCACATCAACATTCTCACCCTTAGAACCCTCGTCACAAGCTTGAGGCAGATCCACATCAGCATTCCCACCCTTAGAACCCTCGTCACAAGCTTGAGGGATATCCACATCAGCATTGTCAGCCTTAGAACCCTGCTCAGAAGCTTGAGGGAGATCCACATCATCATTCGTAGCCTTGTCACCTTTCTCAACAGTTTCACGGTGATCCACATCAACATTCCCAGTTTGAGGGACATCCATAAAAACATCCGCTCCTCCAGCATGGTCTTTAGAAGTTGCAGTGTCCCCCCACACTTCATCATTCCTAGGTTCCACTCTATACGAATAGTTCGCAGAGAAATGACCAGACTGTTTCAGAATATCTTTCAGACACGCAATTAACCTCGTCTTAGAAGCTTGGATCTCTTGACCCATGTGATCAATGATCCTGGCCTTGGATGCTTTGATATCCTGCTTAATGAACTTCTCTAATGCATCCACTCTTGAAACTGCCGATCCTCGCATTCTTGGAGGTTCACCCTCAACCTGAGTCTCTTCTTCTTGAATTTCTTCTTGTTCTTTTCTACTTCTTCATCATCATCTTCTTCAACTATCTTAGTTTTCCCTTTTTCAAAGAAGCTCTGCATCTGGCATCAAGCTCACGAATGCTATCCCAACAGATGCTTTGCGGATTAAACTGCAAATGTTGCATCCATACACTTATCTTTGGATCACTACTTCCCTTGTAATCCTCCAGATCATACAGAAGTGCTTCTTCATCCTTTCCCACTTGTAGAATACTTTTAATACCCTGAAATAAAAAAAATTGTCACTTTTGATCCGTGTGACCCATATGACTCATGTGACCCGTGACCCAAGTGACCCATGTGACCCATGTGACCCGTGACACGTGACCAGTGACCGGTACCTGTGATTCAATTCCAATCTTTTCCATTACAGCAGGGAAGGTCCATCTAAGCCCGGGTTTGATTACCCTCTTGCACATTCTAGGACAG